TCTCAAATAAATAAAAATAAAATAAAATAAAAGTTTTAAAGAAAAGCAAATGTACTTCCATTTCATGCTTAAATCTTAAGGAATCATTAGATATTAAAATTAACATGAACAGCAAAATAGCAAAGACTGTTAAAAGATATAATCTCACTCAAACATAAGAACTATGCTTAATTTTCCTGTATATATTTTTATGGGTGAATATGTTTTACATAGAGGTATTTACAGTATATTTTTTCTGATTTTTTTCAGCTAACATGATTGTTTTCCATGTAGTCATTACATATTAATTCTTCACACATGTGGGATTATGAGAGCTGGTATATTAGAATTTATAGCAATATTGCTAAATAGTTTGTAAAGCTAAGGGAAAGTAAGACTAAATTTCTAATGACAGTGTATTGAATATTATTTAATTGTTTCTTTCATCAGTAGATTCTAAGAATCTAGTTTTATTTTCTGGCTAACTAGAAAAATGTATTTTGTTGTACTGTTTAAAGTTTAAGGGGGAGACACTATTTCATATGTCTTTATTTTTAGAATATGTCATGATGGAAATTAGAAGTAAACTCTTCAGTTAGGAAGATCTTTTTGTTGTTTATTTGTTCAGGGCCCTTTCATAGAGAACAGCACAAGAAAACATTCCAAGTGATGTGTTTATGAAGTGACTATACCAATGCAAAGTTGGGTATGTGAAAATGGGACCACCTATTTGAATTGTCTTTGAACCTTCTCCAACTTTTATTGTCCTGTGTGACCATGAGAGAGACACCTAATCTAACACAAAAAGTAGAAATAACTGCTTTAATACTGTGATTATGAATAAGGCCATGATTTATAGGGCTTTTCATGATAAATAAGACCATGATTTATAGGGCTACTGTGAGTGTGGTGGAGAGAGACATTTATTTAAAAACTGTATTGGAGGGCTAGTGAGATGGCTCAGTGGAATAAGTGCTTCCCTGGCAAGCGCAAGGACCTGAGTTCAATCCCTGGTTCCACAAAAAAAAAAAATAATAATAATAATAAAAAAATAAAAATAAAAACTGTATTGGAGGGCCTGGGATATAACCCTAGCAGAATAAGCGCTTCCTGGACAAGCGCAGGGGCCTGAGTTCAATCCCCAGTTCTACACACACACAAAAATAAAATTAAATAAAAATAAAAAATAAAAACTGTATTGGAGGGCCTGGGATATAACCCTAGCAGCACAGTGCTTGCCTGGGTGGGAACAAGGTTCTGAGTTTGATTCCTGGTACAAAAACAAAACAAAAATTATGTTGAGCTTCTTAGAATAACTTTTCAGTATGGGCCCCTATTCCAAAGAGCAATCATAGATATAGCAAGCATCTGGAATCTGACTGTTTTGTAAGTTCTTCTTGCTCACAGATGACTTCTGAGCCTAGGGCCTAGTTTACATAGGCAGTCAGTCTTGTGGAACTGGGAGTCCCAGTCCAGCACTTAGCACACAGGCTGACTCATCCTGTCTCTTTGCTGCAGTGCCTTACCCTACCTTGAGTTGAGTCTCAGTTTGAGCAAGTTTGCAATCATTTTCTTTTCCTTTTCTTTGGTAGTGAGAATCAAACTTAGGCCTCACGCTTGCCAGGTAAGCACTGCACCACTGAGCTAAATCCCCAACCCTGCAATCATTTTCAACTAGCAGCATCAGGCATACCTTGGGAATGGTAGGAGTGAAAGCCTCCTGTGCCTTAGCACTTCTGAGTCAGATACAGATGTTTTTTTCTCAAGTATGTAGTTTTGTATGCATATGGGTAATGAGGGTGAAAGATAAGACTTTGTTTTTGTCTCCTTAGCTCAGAATGAGCAGGTTGTTTCTATTGAATGGGTTCTGAGAGGAAGAGAGAGTGTGGTGGCCAAAGGTGTACACAGCACAAGGTATTGTTTATTTAGTCAAGCAAATTTAGACGCAATACTAAAAGCACAAGTGAGACCAAGCCCCTTGGAACTTGCTCAGTGTGAGAATGTCTATTTTTTGTATTTATTAAAAGGGTAATTTTTGAAATGAGAGATTGGTTGTAAAGTGACTTTTTATTTTTTGGCGCGTGACATTTATATCAACTATTTTAGAAATTAACGAGGGACACGCCACATACTTTAGCTAGTTAAGCGCTCCTGAATTGATGAGAATTGTCATTTTGTTAATTTCATCAACATGTTCATTTCTTTCAGCTCCATGTTCATGCATGTCTTTTAACCCGGAAACAAGAAGACTGTCCATAGGTCTAGACAATGGTACAATCTCAGTAAGTACACATAAATAAGATTTCCAGTTGAAATACTTCTCTTCTGGAGTATGTATTTGTATTGTAACAAGATTGACTTATTAGTGTTTTCAAATGAGCAGAATCAGTTTCTTGTTAAGGACAGTTGAAATGGCAGTGGAGGACACTGTGGTGAGGGAGAGCCATTGGCAGGCTGCTGGCAAGGCCCAGCAGGACCTCCCACGCGCGCCAGGGCCAGGCTAGGTGCCCTCGGAGGCAGTGACAGACTGGCATGAATCTGCATTTATGAGAGCCAGCTCTCATGATCCTGCCCTTGCTCTGCTGTGACACTGAACTTTGATCAGATAATTAATCCTGGTGTAAGCTTCCCACACAGGGGAGGAGCACGGAAGTGCTCTCTTCCATCTGCATGTCTGATCTTGCCTTTGATACTGTTTTTCTCCTGCTTCTTGTTGTCTCGTCAGCTCCCTCTGGCATGTGAATAGAATTCTGTAAGTTTCCATGAACTTGTAAAGAAAGCATGGAATCTAGGTTTTAGTCTATAGGATTGATCCAGATAGATATTAGACTCTTTGATTATAGACTTCCAGGTAACTGAAGTGATTAGAGATGAATTTCATGTTTTATCTACCTTCTTCATCTTCTCACCTACTGTGTTTCAACTACTATATTAACTATTAACATTTCTGGGTTGGTAAAATCTCCATTTGGTGAATTAACCAGTATTGTCGTTAGCCTTGGGCAAGAGAGGCTGTGCTTTAGAGCTTGTGCCCTAGAAGGCCATATTCTGAAAGCTGGGTAGAGTGGTACAGCTTGTGATCCCAGATATCTAGGAGCCTAAGGCTGGAAGACCATGAGCTCTAGGCCAACCTAGGCAACACTGTGAGACTCAATCTCAAAAATGTGAAAATCTGAAAAATAAAAGAAAGCCATCCTGTGGCCAAACTTGCTCTCAGGATAAAGAGAGCAAGGGTCCTAAGCCCTCATTTGCAAACTCTGTTTTTTGCACTAAGATTTGAATTTTCTGCCCCTCAGCAGCTAAGCACTTACTTCCAGGGTCTGTGTGGGCCTTTGCCCTGGATTGGATGGAACCAGTGAATGTGCTCTTAGACCTGTGGAGTAAGTAAAGGCAAGCAGTTTGTGCAGGTGGACAGTGGTGGGGAACCTATGACAGCATGTTGTTTTCTTTAAGACAAAAGACACTAATATACAAATTTTTTATAAGCTAAAACACCAGTATTCAGGTTTCATTGCAGTGTTGGCACGTCACAATGTGTATTGGGGTTGCAGCTTGGGCACTTGCTTCCCAAAGGTTCGCCATCACTGCTGTGGGCTATCCACACACATCTGCAGGGCCCCTCAAGACACTGGCAGAATCCGATAGCAGAAAGAGGAAGCCAAAGCTGGGCTCGCTTCCCAGTCACCACAATATGGTGTGGAGCTCTAAGGAATCCAAGAAATGTTCTTCCAGATATTTGGAGGTGAACGTGCCAATGTTAGACTGTAAGATCATATTTTTTTTTTTAATACTTTAACTTGACTTGTGACTTTTAAATGCTTAGACATGAAAATAAGGACACCTCCCCTCCACTTCTGGTTTGATCCCAGCCTCTACAGTGATGTTAGAGGTGAACCTGAAGTTTCTTGATCTTTAGTAAAAACATTTCTGTTGTGGCCTCTGTGGAAATGTTAACAATATTGTTAAATATAAATCAGCTTACTGACAGATACTATATTCTGCAATGTCTAGTATATTTGATAGATCTATAAACTGTTCCTTAGAATGATAGAAGTAAAGTTTAAGATGCCAATCTTTGTCTATTTTAAGAAAACCTGTTTTTGAAAGGAGGGGCATATATAGGATAATTTATTTCTCAAAAAAAAAAAAAAGGAAAGTCGGGTGTGGTGGTGCATGTCAGAAATCCCCAAACTCTGGAAGGCTGAGGCAGGAGAATTGCAAAGTCAGAGCCCTGGCTGCAAAATTTAGCAACATAGGGCCAGGGAGTTGGCTCAATGGAATAAGCACTTTCCTGGCAAGCGCAAGGGCCTGAGTTCAATCCTTGGTTCCGCAAAGAAAAAAATAAAATAAAAATAAAAATAAAAAATAATTTTAAAAAAATTTAGCAACATGCTTACACTGTCTCAGAATTGAAAAAGGGTAAGGATATAGCTCAGTGCACAGATCCTGGGTTCAAAGAAGCAGATAAGGGGCAATAATTGATTTGTTGAGTGAACTGAATAGTTCATTACAAAGAACATCTTTAAAAAAAAAAGAGCTACCATCTGAATATTGGCCAGCAACTTGTAATGTCATGTGTAGCAGTCACTGTCCCTAAAAATATTTAACATGTATATTTCATGTGATTCTTTGAGTTTTTGAAATCAATATGAGTGGCTAATGGGTTCTGATTAATTTTGAAGGAAAAAAAGGTAAGTAAAATAAATTTTGGGAAGTTAGCTAGGGGTTATTGTACAGAAGAGAACCCTTTTATCTTAGCCATTATTCCAGTTAGCAAATAAAACTGCTGATGATTGGAGCATCTGTCAGGTTTGAAGATGCTGAATAAAATTAAATAATTTCAGTGCCTAATTTGTGTTGTTGGGAAAAATAAATTGTACATTCTGCCCATGGTCATTTCAAGACTTATAAAGAGCCTAAGTTAGGGAAGATACATTAAGAAAACATCATATTTAAGGGTCAGGGTTCTTATTGACCACTATAGTAAAAGGTATTGGCTAAAAGTACTTAGCTGCATAGTAGTTTACTTTCTAGACATGAAAAATGCTATTTCAGAGACTACGCATCCTCTGTTCCTTGAATATAGCAAATGAGCTTTAAGAAAGAATCCTGATTAAATATGTTTAAACACAAATAGTGAAGTTAAGCTCAACAGCCTAGGTTATATGGTAATAACAGTAAGCTTCTCTTCTGGAGGGTTAATAACCTAAGTTTGCAGACCAAAAATTAGAGAAAAAGGAAGGCTGCAAGGAAAGCCAACATTTTGGCCCTAGCCTTCCAAGGTCAATTAAGACTTAGGACATATGAGAACTTGTACTGTAACAACATGTAACTCAATTGTGTCCCAAATTTTCTGACCAAGCAGATTATGGGGCCAAAGAGGAAAGTGATCGATGATGTAGAGTGTGCCTAAGGAGAGTCACATGGAGAGAATACATTCTCTCAGGCTTTCACAGACAGCACTTTGGCCAAGCAATGACTGTGACTCATCCACATGGCTGACACTGACAAAGGATCTGCAATCTAAAGTACAGGGTCTTACAATAAATCCTGAGGGGATTTGACTGACCTTATCAGATCCAAAAGCTACAATTCTTGTTTCGTAGGTTTTCCTTTATCTTGGTCTTAACCATCCAGTAGAAAAGTATAAAAATGAAGTACAAGAAATAAAGCCATGTTGTTATATTGAGCTATAGGGGACTCAGGTCAACAACTTCTGACATCGCCAGTCAAGTGGAAGACCCAGTACTATTTTTTATGGACTACTGGACTATTTTGGAATATTTTGCTGAGTTCACACACCTATATTTAAACGATAGAACTAAACAAGAAAAGGGGATATAGGGCCGGGGAGATGGCTCAGTGGAATAAGTGCTTCCCTTGGCAAGCGCAAGGGACTGAGTTCAATCCCTGGTTCCAGAAAAAAAAAAAAAAAAAAAAAAAAAGAAAAAGAAAAAGAAAAGGGGATATAGATGAATGACCATTTTGTATCTGTGTATTCACAATGGTTAGGATAGATATATAGCTACATTCTCTTAATTCAAGAAATAGAGCAATTTGTTCTAATTGTGCTTGTAAATAGGATATCTTGTCTGCACCTTGTACAACAAATAACCACTAGGAAGGCAGCATGCAATGTGTTAATTATTGGAACTGTCCTACCAATTTGATTTGAAACTGTCTCATTGCTATTTATTTCTCAATAAAATTATGGAAAAAAAAGAAATAAATATTTTTAAACAAAGATGAAATCATTCCACTTTATTTTACTGAAAAAAAAAAAAAAAAAAAAAAAAAAAAACAGTTCAGGGCTGAGGAGATAGTGGTATAAGCACCTGCTTGGCAAGTGGAAGGTCCCGCGTTCAATCCTCTGTCCATCCCCCCACCAAAAGAAGCAGATTAATGTATGGTACTGAATAATGCTCTAGAAAAGTAATAAAAAATATAGACTATGTAAAAATTTTGGCCACAAAGGGCAGGAGAGAGGGTTGAGCAATAGAACAAGAGTGAATAAGCAAGAAGCAGCAAGAGAGTACAGACCAATTTGTAGAATTTAGCTGTGGAAAGAATGGGGACATGGGGTAGAAGAGAAAGAAAGAGCAAACATCATTCACTTCATGATAATAAGAAAGGAACTCTCCGTTCTATGAAGTCACAAATGAGATCACTTCCAGAGAGAAGCTAAATGTGGTAACTGTGGAGGGTCTGGAGATGTTGCTCAGCAGGAGAGCACTTACCTAGTGTGCCTGACGCCCTGGGTTCAATTTCCAGTACTGCAAAACATAACAATATTTAAAAAGATGGAAAGGAATTATTGCACACTCTTGCCTTTTGCTCTGTGTGAACCTAGCCCAGAAACCCCTTCTGCCCTCTTGCCCCAAAAGTCCCAGTTGTCTTTCAAGACCTTGTTCACATGTGTTTGTTTTATTCTTGGCAGATGGTTCCTGAACCCTATCAACTGAAATTAATCATACATATTACCCAGCAGGTTAGCTGTATTATATTGCTTATTTAATTTTTGCTTTGTAAAGTATTTTAAAGTCTATCTTTTTTTATTAAAGTGTTGAGTATTAAAGACGTGGCTGGTCTTCTTCTATCCTTGTCCCAACATATTTTGTTGTTGTTGTTGTTGTTGTTGTTGTTGTTGTTGTTGTTGTTGTTGTTTGCAGAACCGGGGATTGAACTCAGGCACTTGCGCTTGACAGGGAAGCGCTTATTCCACTGAGCCATCTCCCCAGCCCCTGTCCCAACATGTTTTAATTAGTATATGATTTCCTATACA